AATGAATAGAGTATCATTTTTATAGAAATTTATATTGAAAATATGATCAAACAAAATATATTGTAAATTCAATTAAGTTGAGCAAATTTCAAAATATGATTGGTGTTTAAAGCATAAACGAAAAAGGACAAAAAAAACTTAGAAGATGGCCATTGCTTAGTGGTTGCACATAACTTGCATTTCATTTAATGCAGTTAATACAAAGCCAACTGTGAATATCAATGTTGATGTGTACACATGTCCTTTTAACTCTTATACGGAGTGTATGAGATGAATTAATTATATTAAAAATGAAAAGTCAGTCAACACTGCGTGAGGAGCACTCCAAGGAAATAAACATAAAACGGGTCTGACAACCACCGAGAGAGCAAGAAGACATTAGCCAATCAATACCTTCATGTTCATGTACCCATGTGGTCCTTTCTTTCTCAATATTCTGGATGAAAATAGAGCCACAAAAATTTGAGTCAGGCTCACTAGGTCAATCTATTGTTAAAAAATTTTCAACCCATTTATAAAAGGATTCATTTGACCTTGCCCGCCTAACTTGCGATGAACTAATCCGTTAATCCAGCAAGATTTTTTTTGTATTTAATTTTAGTTTTAATGAAAAAAATTTATTGTTTTGCATTTACTTTAAGCATGACTTATTTGTTTCATGTCAGGAACATAATTTGATATTTGATTCCAATTTTTTATTGATTTATATTGATAGAACAATTGTGCAAGATAGATTACTTTCATATACTTGCAAGTTCTGTGTTCTGAGAGTAATTTAACCACATAATTTTATAAAATATGAAAATAATTTAAATTTAATTTATATGAATTTGTAATTTAATTCTAAAAGACTTTAAAATTATCTAAAAATGTAACCCCAAAAAAAAAAAGAAAATGAGTTGCAGATTGACCCATGATCTACCAACCCATACAAAGTGGATAAGTAAACCTGTTGCAACAAAATTGCTATATGCGTACAGGTTTGGGATTAGCCTTAAAAAAAAAAAAAACTATATTCCAAATGTATCGGTCCCTTCGCATGCCTTGTGTCTCTTTCTCTTAAAAATATAGAAAAGATCAAACTATTAAACGAGAGACTATCCTCCAAATTTTCATTCTCGGTAAATTTTCTATAACGTTGACGAAAGAAAAAGAAATGTATACCATAAAACTTTTAAATGAGAAAGTTTATTGAATCAGCAAAAGTACTAATTTGTAATTTAATTTTTCTCTATCCATTGCCAATTTGAGATCCAGTTTTGCAGCGGAAGAAAAATGGTGGGTTAAGAGAAGGATACATATACATTACTGGGTGGGAATAATTCCGTGTTGAACTTTATATAATTTATCTTATATTCTAATATGCATTCTTTTCCTTTTAATTTCCTTTTTCTATTGACCAACGTTTTTGTTATAATCATAATATTAGACAGAGAACTCATCCAAAGATACTAATATATTAAGTGGGAGAGTTCATTAAACTTATAAAGGCCACTTCGTTTGAGAGCTGACACCGTTGACAGTTTTATTCGTAGCACTTGTGAGGCCCATCGAGACTCAACAGGTTTTTACTCATATGTACATGTTTCATGCCTTGCATCAGATTTCTTTTTTAAAAAAGACCATATAGCTAAGCCCGACTCCAATACCTTAAGCTTTTGGGCTTAATCAGATTAGCCCAAATACTTAAATCGTTAAATATTATTTTATTTTATTTTTAAATTTTTTAGTCATTTTCAATTTTTATCTTAAAAAATTAAGATTTTCAATTTTTATCTAATTCTAATTTTATTTTATTAATAAAAGAATTTAACTATTTGGACTTGGTCCAAATTTCTTCAAGCTTATTTAGACTACCTAATAATAAAGGAAATCTCATAAACTCCCAAGCCTACCCCTGTGATTTTTTGAGCTTATTCAAGCTAACTTGTTGGACTTGATTCAAATTAATAGCTCTAATATTTTTCAATCTCTAAAATAATTTGACATTGACCGTGAAGTTTTAAGAATAGAACTTAACGAATTGGGGAATGATGGTCTTGCGTTTGCTTAAAAATTCCAAAAACTTGTTAAAAAAAATTGTTGGGTATTTTTGCACCTTATCTTTGCTTTTTTTTTTTTAATGGTCAATTTTTACAGATGTTAGTTAAATTTAACAAGATGAGAATTATTACACTTATTAAAATAAGTTCATAGGCACTCCTACATACACCTTTCTTCACTTAAGGATAATGGGTTCCTAAAGAAAAAGTTACTGGGTATTTTTACCTTTCTACCTTTAAATCTTTAGAACAAGAAAAATACCAATATGATTAAAAAATAACTCTTTCATCATTACAAAAATTATCAAAGAAACAAAAAAAAAAGATATTATTAAATATGACGACAATATATACACTTAAGATCTAACAAAAAAAATTTCAGTCTAGACCCGCCCATTGATTAAACATGATTAAAAAGAAAGTCTCCTAAAGTTTGAAACTTCATTGCACATTAAGGGGTTGAAACGAAATTAAAATGTTAAGGGAAATAACAAAATTAACCTTCTATTGAATTAAAAAAACTTCTTCAACTAATTATAATTAATTTAATATTTGAAGACCTAATCATTCTCCTTTTTTAAATAAACATTGACTTACAAGTCTTTCACAAGTCTACTCACATACTAACATTTACTTACAAACTTTCAAGTAATTATTGAGTGAAGACTTGGTAATTGTGCTTATTCGCTTGATTTTTCTTCATGTGTCGAATCAATGCCCTTAATAAATAATAATCAATATAAAATATTTATATATTTTCATCATTTATACACACACATATTAATATGCTAATTTTTACATGTTTGATTTAAACATCCCAGAAATTAATTTGCAATTTTTTTACAAAAAATTTAAGTGATTTGAATTTCAGGGCTCATCAGGGCATAGGCCAATCCTTTCAAATTTAATATTATATATTTGAGTTTTTGTATTATATATCATACTTTTTTAAAAAAATAAAGTAATATGTAAAAAAAATTAATTCTGCAAATGTCAATCCTTTCAAATTTTCTAATCCTCTCATAACGTTGTTTCCAATTCACAAAATTTCTCACAAATAAGCATTATATTGAGTCATTGATTTGAGGCAAAGAAATTAAGAAAAGAAAAACTCTGACCTGCAAGTCAACGTTGACGTCCAAAGAAGCTTTCTGAAGTGCATTATATTTATTTATTCATCATTTTTAATTTTATCTTTTAAAATTAAATATACAAAATAAATTTTTTCTATAATTTGAGGTTACATATATGATTTTTAAAAAAATATAATTTTTAAAAAACTAATATCATAAAAAAGCTATCATATACATTAATAAGTCTATTTAATTTGTAAAGAACGAAAAAGCAAGTTCATACTAATTAGGAGGAGGAGTGGAAGAAATTTTAACTTGTAAATTACATTTATCAAATTACGCGTAAAAACATTAAATAATAGGTAAAAAGAAACAGATGGAGTGCCGAGTACTTGCATTCAAGAAAAAAAGAATGAAAATAAAACCTACTTTGAATTGAAGCCATCACTCTGGGCCTTGCTTCCCTTATTCCAGCACCAATAATTAGCATTTCGACTTCGTCAATTTCATGATTCACTTTCTACCAAAAAAACAATTCATGATTCACAAATAACTATGTGAGTGTATTGGGCTTCAACGTATTAAGGCCCATTATTGTTCTCCAGTTTACTCTATGTCTCCTAACAATGACCGGTCCAATTTATTGGCAAAAGCACCACTCGTTTCTGTTGGTGATATTCAGTTCTCTCAAGGAACTTCATCATATTTAATTTAAAAAAGGGGGATTTTGTTTTTTAACGCTCCCTTTGTGCGTAAAAGGTTTACATGTGATGCTGTTTGATAAACCATCATCCAAATCTAGAGTGTTATATAAAAAATGATGGCATAGATGTATATATGGGTTAATTAATTATTAAAATAATTGTCAAAATTATTCTAAAATCTTGCATAACATATTGTATTTGAATTGTTTAACCTTAAAAGTTAAATTAGCATATTTTCAAGTGTGAGTGTGTGTGTGTACGTGGGAAACTATAGTTAAGCATCTCATGAATGAAACTTAAGCATTGCTCATTTAAGATTGTTAGTTAAATCTGTTTATAAAAAAAAAAAAAAACTTAAACCTAAATATCTCTTGCTCATTTAAGATTAGTTAAGTTACGGTCTCGCCCAAAAATGAATAAAGAAATCGATATATTTTATCGTTTTTATTGACTAAGAAAACAACAATTTTTAGAGATTATGATAATAAAAATAAAAAAATAATTCTGACCAACAACCATTTTACTATTTTTAGAGATTATGGCATTAAAAATAAAAAAAATGATTGTAACCTCCCCAAATTTGTTAAAGCAAAATAGCACAACAGTCCTTTTTATTTATATTTCTTTCCCTTAATGGCACAATGAACTGAACAATTAAATCTTAAAAAAGAAAATATGGCATATATAACTATAAGTTAATGATGGTTTCTAACCATTCGCTTCCTCTTTTTAGTGGATCATTCACCATACTTGCAATCCATAGAGATTTTCCTGTAAATATTACAACGTGAAACGTTGTTGCTCCTCCAAATGCCACTCCACATACATACCCCATCACCACAAGCTTCCATCCAAATTCAAATCCAACTTTAGAATTTGGTTGTGGTGGTTGTCTTTCCTCTTGGCTGAGACATGGAATTATAAGTGGAAAACCACACAACTTACTATTGCCATTAAAGGAATCAATTGAGAAAATCCCAAATTGTTGGCCCTCAAGAATGCAACCTTTTAGCTGGTTTTGCAAGAGCTTCAAGGCTGAGAGAAAGTTGAGATCTGTCAACTCTGTAGGAGTTTTCTTAGAAAGGTTGTTTGATGAAAGGTCCAACCATTCTAAATTTCTTAAATTTCCCATTGAGTTTGGGATTGTTCTAGTAAGCCTATTCTGTGAGAAATTGATCCCATGCAATGCTTTTACTCTCTAATAACTTGTGGAATCTCTCCCTCAAACATGTTATTGGATAGATTGATGCTTGTGAAAACAAACAAGATCTTTTCTAGATGAATGTCAAGTCCTTTACATGTTAATTCAATAGAGTCTTAATAATAACCAGTACCATAGCTATAGTTTTCATAACTCAAGTAGTGCAACCCAATTTTCGCATCTAATTTTCTCAGCTTCAAAGCATTTGAAGATTGTTGCAAGTAAAGAGCCACAAAAATTGTTGCTGGACAAGTCAAGTACTCTTAACCTTAGTAAGGCATGGTTTGTGTTGTCCTTTAAATTAAACTGGGGATAAAACCATGCAATTTATTCTCTCTTAAAACAAGCACCTACAATTCTTCAAGGGCTTGAAGCCAATGAGGAAATACATCCACTAGGCCATTGTTACCAAGATCTAATACTTTTAACCTTGTGCAATTGACTAAAGATTTGGGCAATGACCCTTCCAATATGTTTCCATTAAGATTTAGGGTTCTCAAATTGCTTTTTGCTTCAAATGATACAGGTATAGTGCCAAAGAAGCTGTTCATTTGTAAATCTAATATGGAATGAGCAAGGCTAGAGCTAACAAGGTAGTGTGGAATGGTGCTGGTGAAGTGATTATGGGACAAGTTAAGAATATCAAGAGTTCTAGCATTGCAAATAGAAGAAAGGAGCTCTCCTTAAAGGAAGCTGGAATTCAAGTCAAGAAAAAACATGTTTTTCCATGACAATTGTTGCAACGACACATTTCTAGTGAGAAAGTTGTGAGAAAGGTTCAAGAATGTAAGGTTCTGAAGTTGAAAAATTGACAATGGAATTGAGCCGTACAACTTGTTTTTAGACACATCAATTAGTTCCGATAAATAAGAGGATATTTTACCTATTTGATCAGTGAATTGGTTAGAAGAAATATCCACAATCGTCAAAGATGGCCGGCTAAAACACCAAGGAGAAATTGTTCCATGGAATCCATTATACGACAAGCATAGCATTTGGATTAATTAATTATCAATTTGATCCGTTACCTTTTCTTAATTAAACTATCATGTTAATCTTTTAAATTTTAAAACACAAATTTACTCTCACATTAATCTCTTCCACTGCAATTTGGTATTTTGTTTTTAAAAAATTTTGAGTATGATTTTTCTACCCAGATAATCACATTTATTATCATGGCTGCCATCCATATTCCATTGTTCATGTTAATAGATTTTAAAAGTGTTACTTTCTGTTTAAATAATAAAGATCAAATCAATAATTAAGGAAAATTTAAAGGGCTACCAAATCAATAAAAAGCATATTTGAGGATCAAGTTAATGACTGAGACAAATTTGAAAGACTAAAAGTTTTATTATTTTCATGTAAAATTATATTTATGTTATTTTTGTATTAAAAGATAAGCATTATATACCAAATATTATATCTCAAATTTTGTGAAAAACCTGATTTACAAGAAATTGAGAGTGCTTGGACTTTTACCACAAATGTTTTCAGATGCAGATATTATGACATGAAGAAAAATAAAGAAAAGTTAGAAGGCTCTTGTGAACTTCATTATGACAAGAAGAAAAATAAAGAAAAAAAAGATAAATTAATACTTTAATTTTTGAAGAACTGTTGTAATATTACTTTATTTCATATAATTATGAAAATTTTGAATTTAATTTTCTTTTTGTAACAACGAGTATAATCCGATGTTTGAATTTAATAAATCATTTATTAGGTTAACATTTTTTGACAGTGATATAATAATTTATGTATTTAAAAGTCAAATGATTTTCAAATCAGGTATATACAAAAACTGGATATATAGAGGATGCTATTTTGATTAAAAATTGTGCATAAGACAAATATATTCGGTTAATAATTTATAATAAAAATGCACTATTTAATATCTATCTTTTAGGATGTGTTTGGTTGGGGTATTTTGGAGGGGAGAAGAGAAAAAGTGCTCCTTTTCCCTTGTTTGGTTGATAAAAAATCATTAATGTTAACTAGCCTTATCATTTCTCCTTTCTTCAATTCCCTTTTGCCAGCAATACAATTGATCAATGAGAAAGAATAAGTGTTCAAAGTGAACTGCAATTCACAAGTCTACTCCCAGATAAACATTGACTTACACGTCATTATATATCCTTTAAAGATTAAACCGTTCAAAATCTTCACCATTCCATACGCGTGGTTTGGGTATGTGTGATGAGAAATGCTTCATGTTTCAATTAAATATAAGTCTTTATACATGAAAGACTTGGTAGCGCTTTCTTTATTGGTTTGATTTTTCTTCTTCTATTTATCCTTCCATTATTGTTGTCTTGTTTTTCCACCTTAACAAATTTCTATCGGATGGTGGGATTTGGATTTTAGATTTAAAATTCTACATTTCAAATCTCATGTTTAAAATTCATGTGTTTTAAATTCTTTGTTTGGGTAGTTTATAAAATTTTAAATGAAAAAAGAGATAGGTTGAGATTCAAAATGAAAACAGAATTGAGAATGATGAGTTTACATGTATTTTTCAATCAATGAGAGATGAGAAAAATATGAGAGTTATAAAGGCATCAATAGTGAAAATGCAAGAAAAATAAAATGTTTGAAGTGACTGAAATTTTAAATAATTGAAATACAAGGAATTTGAAACTACAGAAAAATTATAGTAAGAAATGGATTTGTATTTGAATCCATGAATTTTTTTTTTTTTTTGAATTCAAATAAAGGATTTAGTTCAAAGCCAAATCCAAATTCTCGTTAATCTAAATACATCATTAGTGAATACTCAACGAAAGCCAATTATTCACATACAAAATATTGACTTGATTTTTATTGTGGCATATTGAAATAATCAAAAACTATAATCAATCGTGGTTGAAATTCAAAAAATAAATTTTACTTTTGATTATTGAGATTTTTAATATTGTTCAGGTGATAAATCTAGCGACGTTAGGAAAGCACTTGAATAATGACTTTCCCACTTCTAACACAGACTCCACATCAATAGACTTGGTATATGTATTATAATTGAGAGTTACTTGTACAAATTTCAAGTGTTTGGATTTTATGTTCAGACTTTTGATTTTAACCCGGTAATACCCCTTTTTGGAAAACTTGTAATTGTCTTTGTTGGATGTATTGGCGTCACGGGTTTTGAATATATACTGTGAACTTGTGTGTGTGTGTGTGTGTGTCTTCTGAATATTATGTTGTTATTGAAATGTTGGGCTGCATGATTAGAAACCCCTTCCACAGGGGTTGGGCCCTGTAACCCTGTCTACATGTTTGTGTTGAATTAATTTTTAATTAAATATTTTGTGTTGAATTAATTTTTAATTAAATATTTTATATATGGAATTAATTTTTTTTTCAAATAATTGTCATCTTTAATGACGTAACTAAATTTGTCACTGCTTGTGCGTTGATGATTGATTACGTGTGTGTTTAGTTTTCAGTTCAGTTTATTTATTAAAAGTTCATTTGGTGAAAATTAATTTAGTAAAAATTACTTATTATAACAAAATTTATATTTAGATACATTTTTTTAAAAGTTAGTTTAATATATTAAAAATTATTTGAATTATGATAATAAAATGTGCTTTTAAATGTACAATTATTAAAAAAACATTGATTTATAATAATTTATAATTTTTATTATACAAATGTAATATATTTAAAATATTTAAAAAATGTGATAAAGATTTTAAATAATATAAGATTTGATCTGTAATTCTAAAAACTTAATTTTGAGTTATATTTGTATTTTTAAAGTTATAATTATAAAAAATGTGATAAAAAAATTTAATTTTTATTATACAATAATGCTAAAAATTATCATAATTAATTATTTAATTTATAATGCTGAAAACTTGATACCTATTATTATTATTGAAATGATAACTATACTTTTAATGAATTAACTATTTTTAAATAAAAGAATAAGAGATTAAACTTGGGGTGATATGATCAAATAAAATTTCACTTTCTAAATTTACTTTTCAAAAGTTTTTAATAGTTATGTTTCTCATATTCACATTCAGCCATTGTTTAAATGTACTTTCAGAATATATTTTTTTTTCAAATATTTTATCCAAACAACTTTCAACATTTTAAAAATAAAATTTTGCTTTTTGAATATGAAATTGAGAGTACTCAAATGGACTCTAAATCTAGTCCTAATAAAGAAAGCAAAATCCAGTGGTAGCCAACATTTAGTGTGTGTTTGGATTAAAAAATTTACAACTGAGGTTAGAATTCAATTGAGGTTAGCAAACTGAAGTTAAAAGAAAAGTCAGTTGATGTAACGTGATTTATGTTTGGATACCATTTTTTTTAAAAGTCAGTCAGATAAATTAAAATTCGTTTGAATGATTTAATTCAAAAGTCAATTGAGATATTTAATAGTAAAAATAAGCATGAATTTTTTATCTTAAATATTAAATCTTAAATAAGCATGTTTATTTTTTTGACTAACTGATAAATAAAAATATTAAACTTAAAATCATAACTAATAAGTAAAATATCTTAAATATTCAACCATGAAAACCTAAAATAAATTAATATTTAATTGATATGATTTACAAGTTGATCTCTAATTATATCACAAACACGCTGCATCTGTCTTGATGATCCGGGTAGATTTGATGAGGATGCTTCACCAATATCAATATCTTCCTCCAGGACTTTTGCACTTTCATCTTCAGCTTGTATGAACTGCTCGTCAGTAATTAAATTTCTCCTAATAAAATTATGTATTGCCATTGTTGTACAAACAATTTGAACTTGTGTTTTATATTTAAATTTGGGCATTTTTCGTATAATTGCAAACCTATTTTTCCACACTCCAAAAGTTCTGTCTATAGTGCATCTTGGACTTGAATGATAATAATTGAAGACCTCATTATTGTTTGCAAATCCTGCAACTCGCCTAAAGTCTGGAAGATGATAACGTTCGCAACGATATGGACCAAGATACCCATTTAGTGTTGGATAATCAGAATCAACCAAATAATATTTACCTATTAAATGAAAGGAAGTGATGTAAATTTGACCAATATTAAATCAATGTAATAATAATTATAGTGACTTTAATAAAATATACCTGGAGGTGGATGCGAAAAATGCATTGAAGGAGTTGATATGGCATTATCAAATACTCGAGCATCATGAGCCGTACCTTCCCATCCCGCAATGACAAAAGTAAAACATATGTCCCAATCACATACAGCCATAACATTCTGTGTTGCATATCCCTTTCTTTTAATAAATTTAATTTGATCAGCAACACTAATCACGCATGGCACATGAGTGCCATCAATTGCTCCTATAGCATCCTTAAAAAATGGCCAATACCGTGGATCATTTTGAATTTTTAAATGACATTGTTGAAACAAAGGATCGAGTGGCTTTATGTTTACCTTGGAAAGGTTAAGGCAGGCAGCTAATACTTTATGAAAATTTCTATGAACAGTTTCCTTTGAATGCTAGAATCGTTCTTGTATCATCCTATTACCAACTCCATGTCCAACTGTATTTAAAAACATTCCAACCATTTCTTCAACTCCCATTTTTTTTGACTTCTTTAGACTAAGATCAACCAGTGTCGCACACAGTTGCCTAAACAAATGTTTTTCCATTCGAAACATTTCATAACAACGATTAGGATGACCTTACAAAATCTCATTGACCCACATTGTCCTGTTTGCATGCTAGTTCTCCATGGCTCTTTACACACATATGGCATCACATATTCACTAACTAATTGACATATTTCTTCTTGCTCCGTTATATCTTGCTGTAACAAGGGAAGTAGTTGATGAGCTACATCTACATCCTAAACTTCATTCTAACCTAATATATATTCATTCGAATCTTCCATGATTTTTAAACCTGAGGTAAAATAGTATGTAAATATAAAGTACATAGTATATAAATATCATAAAAGATAAAGCATAAGATAAGCATTATATAAGAGTTAAATATTTACTACAAATCAAGTCATCATTTGCAAACTACAAGTCAAAATAAAGCAACTACAAGTCAAACACAAGTCAAAATAAAGCAACTACAAATCAAATACAAGTCAAAAAAAGCAACTACAAGTCAAACACAAGTCAAGTCATCATGAGCCTAGATAAAAATTTATCCATATGTATTTTTTAAAATCCAATCTGGTAGATGGTAAACTTGGTGCTTCAACCAATTGACTAAGTGATCAGGATGATCTTTAAGTTGTCACTAAACATCTCGCATAGGCTTGTACAGAACAAGATTGACACATCTCCAATGCAAATCTTTATTACCAAAAACTTCTGGGAGTCTATTTAGGTGAGCCATAACCTCAAAAACTCCTATGTCATTTGCTAAAATCTTGTTCACTGTCTCTGTTCTTGCTCTATTATCCTTAGCCATTTCACTTATCGCATTTGCTATTTTCATTGAGGCAGGGACTTTTTGCTTTTTCCTCCCACCAATGCCTATAACCCTCTTTCTCTTGCCTTGACTTCCGTTACCACTGGTTCCATCAGTATTTGTGGTCACACTCAAGCCCAATAGCTCATCGGTGACCCCCATAGGTGCTGCGGTGTCAGATAAATTTAGCTCCTCTTCACTATCACCGGAGCCTTCTCGAAGGTCAATAGTAGGGCGGTATACATCCTCATCATCATCATCTTCTATTTGGGTCTAGGTAGCAGATGGTACAAAACATATTTCCCCAGTTGCCAGGACATCCTTGAATATCAAAGTTAATTCCCTTGCAAACCTCAAACCTTTATATCTAAATTTTTCATAAAGGGAATTTTCCTACAGCCATTCAAATATCCAACAATTAAAATTCTCAAATTAAATTCTAATTTTAAAAACACTTACAACTAATCCATACCAAGATTTTTCGCTCCCACCACTCATCTGGAGCATCAACAGTATTCTTGTCACTGTCCCATCCTAAGCTGGTTTCACTTGAAAATAACTTATGCCATACGTTCCATTCTTTCCTCATGTTATCTAGCTTATTTTTCAATTGCTTTCGCTCATACCTTTTTCCTATTTTTGCCTCAAACCCCTCAATTATTGCTTGCCACCCATTTTTATTGAAAGTAGTTCCCTTCCTTTGTTTCTTGCACACTTGCTCCAAGCATTCTTTAATGAAAATTTCTGTCAAGGTTGAATTCCACATAGCTTTTCCTTTGTCGCTGTTCATTGTTCTATAGACTAGCCAACCATCACAAACATGCAAAATTAATAAATATCTCTACATATATGTATCCTTGAAAATAAATAGAGGATTGTAATTAGATCTCAAGCTTTCAAGAATATTAGCTATGGTCATCTCTCTTAATAAACCTAGCTAACTCCTAATTTCTCTTATCCGATCAGGCTGACATTAAAGAAACAGATTTTGAAATCTTTAAACTTTAAAAGAATAAATTAAGAAAATAAATATGTAATATAATAAATTGTAAGAAAATAAATATCTAATTAGTACATTAAAAATATGACATGCATGCGTTTTCCAGGAAGCTATGTACACTAGATTTTTTTACTGGAAGCTATGCTTAAATAAATATGTACACTAAATTTCCAAGAAGCTATGCTTAAATAAATATGAACACTAAATTTTTTCCCTTTTATCTTTGCAATCCCAACCATTTATTTGTTGATAATGTATAGATTTCTAGGATTGTAAAATAACCATGGATGATTCAAATATTCTCAAAATTTTCTAAATCCATATTAGAAAGTTACGCCTTTATCCCTTCTATCAAAGCAAGAGAAATCCATGTCAGAAAACTATTTTCGTACAGCATTATAGAAGAATCAATTCGCACAGCATGCATGCATTTTCCAGGAAACTATTTTCACCTTTTCAAGAATATAGAGGATTGCTTTCAGATTTCAAGCTTCCATACGTCTAACAGCATTATAAATAATAGTAATTTCAGTTCCAGAAGATCAGCCATAAAAATGAGCATTATAACAGCATTATCAGTGTTTCATTACACGCACACATGTAGAGCACGATAGATCAAGAAAATAGAAAACAGCAACTGAGTTCCAGCAAAAAAAAAACAACAGCTCTTCCTCTGCTCTAAGATAAACGAAACAGGGGATGGAAAATAAAGAAGAGACCAAGCACAGATCAGTTCTGGAATAGTAGAGGACGATAAGCCATGAAAATAAAGACCAGCAACTTGAGTTCCAGAAGAAAAAAAAGCCAGGTCTTCCTCTGCTCTAACGTAAACAAAACAGGGGATGGAACGTAAAGATAGTCTTCAAAATATAGTCTTCAAAAAACAAAAAGCAAGGCACGAAAGGAAGGAAGCAAAGAAGGAGATGAAAAAATAATGACATTACTTGACAGAGACAAGTGATGGAGAGCAGATCCGGCGATGGGAAGTGTAGATCCGATGGACATAGTGCGATCGAGAGGCAATGAGAAGAAAAAGCACTCCGAAGCAAAAGACACGGTGGACGCTAGAAAGGACGGCAATAAGCTAGAGATCGGTTGGATGTGTAGATGACTAGAGCTGGAGATCGACCGGAGAGAGCAAATGACTAACGGAAGGAGGCAGATCTGGTGTGTAGAGCTTTATGCGAGATCTATGTGTGTTTTGGAGCAGATGGGAAGGTCACAGGAATAAAAGCACAGGAAGCTAAGCACAGCTATAGGAAATAAGAGAGAGAACGCATCAGGAAATGTATTTTATTGCTTTTAAGAGGCACTAACGTGAACGCGCAGAAGAAAAAGCCAGGGCAGTCAGCTTTAAACTCAACGCACGTTTTCATGCCAACTGAGGTTCAAAGATCTTGCTAATCCAAACAAGATAATTTTATCATTTTACCTCCTAACCTCAGTTTCCCTACTCTAACTGAGGTTACAATGCAATCCAAACATGCTCTTAACTTACTCATAACGTATTTCCAGGTAATTTCTCAACCCTAGATTTCGGAACTATTGTTGACTTATAGCTTCCGAAACAAAATTGGAAAAACAAGATATAAAAAAGTGAGAAATTAATAATTTAATTTTTGATGAACTTTTATAATACTACTTTATTTTTTATAATTATATGAAAATTTTGAATTAATTATTTTTTTTGTAAAAACGAGTATAATCCGATGTTTGAATTTAATAAATTATTTATTATCATTTAATAAATTATTTATTAACATTTTTTTAGTGTAGCATTGAGTTTGACAACGATATAATTGAAGAATTTAAAAGCCAAGTGATTCTCAAATCAAATCCACACAAAAACTAGATATTTTAGAGGATGCTATTTTGATTGAAAGTTGTGTATAAGACAAATATATTCGGTTGATAATTTATAATAAAATGTATATTTATTTTATAGGATATGTTTGGTTGGGGTGTTTTGGAGGGGAGAGGAGGGGAGGATAGTTGTTACTTTTTTGGTTGATAAAATTTATCAATGTTTTCCATCGGAAAAAAAAAAATTATCAATGTCAACTAGCCTTATCTTTTCTCTCTCCTTCAATTCCTTTTTTACCAGCAATACAGTTGATCAATTAAAAAGAACAAGTGTTCACAGTGAAGTGCAATTTAAGCAAGTGTACTCACATATAAACATTGACTTACAACTGATTATCCTTTAATTTAAAGCCTAAACCGTTACCAATGAGCATTTGTTAGAGTTGGCAAGGGCTACTACCAGCATTCTTCAGGGCGAGGGTTACCTCACTACCACCATAAAGTTTCCACACGGGGGATCCAGATTAGTCTGAGGCGGGCAATGAACCCAGGATATTCTAAGATACTGGATGGTTTATACAAAAAAAAAAAACAGACTAAACCGTTCAAAGTCTTCACCATTCCATACGCGTAGAGCCAGGAATAAGGGCCGGGCTTGAAAGCCCTGTTTAAATAAGGGTTCGGGCTTTGAAAATAATTTTTTTTAAAGTAATCGAGCTTGAGGGCTTGGCCCTGATAAGCCCTGTAAAATAGGGCTCGAGCCCGGGCTGCCCTTCAAGCCCTGTTATATTATTTTTATTATTATTTTTTTAGTAAAACACGTGTTTGAAATCAATGACCTGCTCACCTGATCCTACACACATTATATTATTATTAATTTTAATTTATTCTAAAATTAATTTAATATAATTAAATGAATATCAGTGTATAGTATAAAATTTATGATATTTTTTATTTTTCTATAATTATTATGTTTGTATATTTATAAAAAAAATGAACTATTTTTAAATGAAGATTTAAATTTTATTACTAGACTTCTAATGTATATTATTTAATTTCTAAAAAATTATGATGATTTTAATTTTTTTTAATTTTAAAATATTTTAATTTATTTATAATGTTTAATTTTATTTTAATTTTTTTATTTTTTAAAAAAGGACTTATGGGCCTGACCCTAAGCCCTGAGTATAAAGGCCGGGCTTGAGAAATGGGGATTAAAATGAGAAACCGGGTTTTAGGGCTCAGGCCCTTAAGGGCCGGGCCCGCCCGTATTTCCAGCTCTACATACGCGTGGTTTGAGCAAAGTGTGATGAGAAATGCTTCATGTCTCAATTTTATATTGATTTTTCTTCTCTTAATTATCCTTTCATTGTCTTGTTATCTCGATTTTCCACCTTAACGAATTTCTATTAGTGAATACTCAACGCAACGCAATTATTCACATACAAACATTGACTTGATTTTTCTTCTCCTAATCCTTTCATTGTCATGTTTTAGTTTTCCAAGGAAATGACTTCCTAATAATTAATTTCCACAAATTAGAAGATAAAAATCTCAATTACAAATACATTATCAGTAGTTGCTTTTGAACTTTTCAATATTCCACTCAGTAAGCATCAAGACAATTTTTTTTTTTGGGGCCCGGGAAGAAACAAGCATCAAGACAAATTTAAGCACACCACGCAGTTGCGAGATATTTTTGTATAAATTTATTTGACCAGAAATATTTTGTATAACTTAATATTACAAATTTGACCGTTCTAAATTATACCATAGTTGGTTTCTTTTTTCTTTTTTTCTTTTTTTTTGGGATAAAGATCATAGTTGATTTCTTTTAACAAAGTTATAATACATTTGAAAGAAAAGGTCTATCAAAGTGCAGTACTCTTTCCATGATTTTGTATAAAATCACTAAATAAGGATCTACTCCTAGAAGGCGATGAGAGATTCAATATGACATATTGAAATGATCAATAACTATAATCAATCATGCAGTTAAGGTCCAAAGAAATTCTACTTTCGATTACTAAAATTTTTATCTCACTCCTAGTTTAACATTTTTCAAGGGATAGATTTAGAAAATTATTATACTTTTGATTTTTTGGGAGGCTATATGAACTGTAATTGAGAGTTATTTGTACAAATACCAAGTGGAAGAGATTATGCTTGTACTTTTGATTTTAATCATGTAATAACCTTTATTTTGGAAAATTTGTAATTGTCCTTGTTGGATGTATTGGGTTCACTGTTTAGAATACACACACACTATTAACTATAATATATATATATATATATATATATATTGGTAATAACTATAATATATTTCTGTCTACTGAATGTTGTTGCTGAGATGTTGGGCTGCATGATTAGAAACACCTCCACAGAGGTTGGGCCTGTTTACATGTTTGTGCTAGACTCCTCAAGGTAGGATCCTGGATAATTCTGTATGATTTTTGCAAATATTTCTAAGTTTTTTTATGATGGAGATAAACTACACAGCCATAATGAAAGGAAATAATGGCACGGACAAGAAAGGAACCCAAGAGAAAAAATAAATAAAATGAGGAAATTAGAGTAGAACGTTTTAGTCAAAATATTATTTTTTTAACTGCAAAAAAAGACCATGATACTTAAATTTAATTTTAAAATTGTGCAGTCCTTAATCTTTATTACTTACCTTTCCAGATCCTTAATTGTGCGATTTTTTCCAAAATTTTTCTTATAGAAATAAGATTACAAAAAACTTGATTAAAAATATTTAAACTGTAAAGACTTGATTATGTCATGAATGACATTATAAGGATTTAAAGATTAATTTTTTTTCTTTACTTTATCTTTTATGAGTACGTCTAATCTCATGATTTTGATAAACCTTACTTGTGAACTTCATTAATACGGTATAGGACTTGAAATGCAAATTGAGATTATATATCAACATAAATCATTGAAAATAACGTTCCTAAGGAGGGACAAGAAAAATTATGATTTGATTGATTAGGAGAGAAAATTGAAGTGAAGATAATGGGATAAGTGAAAATGAAGAGAATAGAAAAATAAAAATAAAATATATTCTCTCTTTATTTGTATAAAAATAAGAGGGAAAAAAAAAAAGAAAAAATGACTAAATTCATACGACGGGTAACGTGCTTGACCAAAAAAATTCCAGGCAACATGCCTCTTTTTTATTCCTTTGAGAAAGTCTCGAGGGAGAAGACACACGAGGCACAATTAACAAATGTGGACCTTAATTGAGCTGTTTGACCCAATTAACAAAATTTAGGTATTCAAGAATCACAATTAAATATCATAGCAATTTGTCAAAAAAATAGTTGTTCATGATGTTTTGGGCCCTACCCCGCTATGATTTTAGGCGGAACAAAAATATCAACCAGCCAATTTAAATTATTTAAATTAATGTATCAAAAAATTTATCTAAATTAAAGTTAAACAATGTAAATAAATAATATAAATTGTCCACATCTTTTTGTTTGGCCAACAATTGGCCACATGTTCATAACTATTAAAAAAATCCAAACCTAATTTAATAAGATTAAACATAGCCAAGTGAATCAAGTGGACAACCCATCATTTCCCGACACAAGCTTGCTGTGTGCATTTCCTCTTGTGTCATCACAAAAAATGTTGGATCTAAATTATTAAAATTATAAAATATATACATATATATATATATATATATAAGAAGCAAATTAACTTCTTCCATATAAATGCACGCTTGATTTTAACTAGAGAACTAATTTTAAAATATTGAATGTTAATGGCAGTTCGTTAACCCTTAAGGCACTATAGTATACCTAGCTAGTAGAGTGGTTAGGAGGTGTTAGCTAGTCCCGTGCGACGACCAACGCACGTGGATGGATGGATTATTCGTGAGCATCATACTCACATTTGATTTCATAGGTGAAATGAAACGACAGCAGTGAATGGAAGAGAAGAAACACACATTCGTTGTAACACCACCATTAATGCAAATAAAATGCACTTATATCTTGCCATTTATTTCCTTATTTTCAGTTTAAGACTTAGAGCAGTATAAATAGGATCTTGTTTTCCTTATACTGACATCTAAGATTGAAGCAATAAACCAAAGTATCTTTTTCATTCAATTTCTAAATAATTTTGATATCAGAGCCAAGTCTAGAGAGTGAGAGAGCAAAGTGAGAGTTGAGAAATTATATCAGAGAGGAGAGAAACTCAGAAGAGTCCCTGACTTGTTTGAATTTTGCATTCTAAGCCTTTTTTCTAGAACCTAACATCACCATTATGCTTAGGATATTCAAAAACGTGAAACAAGAGGTTCCTCGTCGTTGTTAGATGATATCGCATGCGCTGTCATGCACTTATACCGAAGGCCCACGCACTGTCAATGTTCATCCTCACGTTTGCTGGAGGTTAAAGACGTTGACGTCATCGACACTTCACCTGCCACGTCACTTATCATGACCAATCAATGAAAGGTCAAACCCATTATATTCTACTACATGTCTTATTTGCCATGTCATCCTGCCCCCTTAACTTTAACTTTTTGTAATTTTATTTTTTCCCT